GTGCGGGGCCGCCGCGGCTGGGGAGGGGAGGGCGCTCTGGCCCCCGCCCGGCGTTTGCCCTGCTCCGCGCCACTTCCCAGTCCGCAGGGAGATGCCCTCCACGTTTCCGCTTTCTCTGCAGCGTTCAGATCGCCAGATGCGACTGTGCGCCTCGCCGGGTGTGTTCTCCACAGCCCCCTTCCTCCCTCGGCCGCCAGGGCTGACATCACCCGCAGCGTTTTGTGGCTTGGCGAGGTGGGGGGATAATGGCTCCCGGCAGGATTCTGGAACGCTTCTCCCCCAGGGCCGGCGCGATTTGGGGGAGGGTAGATGCTCTTGAGGACCGTCTAGCACGAGAGTTTTGTGGCGAGGTGGGACTGTTCTCCCCCGTAAGGTGACAGTTTCTCTTGTGAGGTGTGGCAGCGCTTCCTGTTGTACAAGACAGACGTTGCCCTGGCATTACATAAATCTTCTTTGATTTAAAAGAAAACCCATTTTCAGTGACTGAGGTAGACGGGAAGTAAGACACACTTATAATTTGCACGAAACAAAGTTTTCCCCGCAAAATCAATATATTGCGACACCATTCCTGCTGTGAAAGTTTCCACTTAAGAGAATAAACTTAACGCCGTGAGTTTTCTGTGAGGGCTTATTTTGTAACTGGCTTCATTAAGCGTCCTTCATTAAAGTGAAAATACATATTAGCTCTCCTTAAGAGCTCGAATTCCCCTGGCTGGAGGCACAGGTTCAGTGTTGCAGAGACCAGATAATGCAAGTGAGAATTCCCTTCGTGGCCATTACCACCTCGAGTAAAGTGTTTATTATGAGCAGTTCTTATGTCATTCTTAAGGTAGGTAGGATGAATATTCTCCAGCAGATTTAATAGTTACTCCACCAGAGAAGAGGGGGGTATAGTCACATAATAATCGTGTAGTTTTCTGTGTACTTAATTTTTGCAGTTTTGTAACACCTCAGTTGAAGATGGTTCCATTTTTTCCTGGCTCTGAATCATAAGATAATTTGACTGAGGGCATTATAGCCATTGTAAATGGTAGGCTTTTAACAAATAACTACTTAATTTAGTGATTGGAAAGCATTTATTACGTGGAATTGAAGTTAGTGTGGGGTAACCCAATGCTGTATATTTATTTTTTCCACTTAATTGTTTTTTATAAAATGGATATAAAAGCCTGTTAATCCAACCCAATGCCATTATGTAATGCCAGTTTGGAGATTTAGAGGGCCCGAAGTAATGCGCAAGGTGTGCTAAAAGCCTGCCCCTGGACACAGTCCTGATCCTGGCTGCGGTGGCAGCTGCATTGGGCTGGGTCCCTTGGATGGAAGCGAGGACTGCAGTGCCCATGGTGCAGTAGGTGGCGCTCTTCTGTCTCAGAGCCTGCTGCTGCTGCTGCTGCAGCCTGTGCTGTGGAGCCTTTTGCCACTAGAGGTGCCATTTTTCCCATGAGATGACCCTTCCTAGTTCTCAGAGCATTCTGTAAGCCATAGGTTCCGAGAAGAAAACCTGAAGGGAGCAGATGTTATCACTTCTTTGTCATCCTTTGTTTTTAAAGGTGTCCTTTTATTCTAATTCCTTTCATTACAGTGATTGATTTTTTTTTTTTTAGGGTTGGTTTTTGAAAGATCATAATATTAAAAGTGTAATTGGAAAAACTCTGTTGATCTCAGCCAAACTCGTGGGTTGAATTATAACCTTTTCTTTCTTCGTGTAGGCTGATCAACTGACCGAAGAACAGATTGCTGGTAAGTTGGCGATTCTGAGGAGTCCCCAGAAGGCCAGAACTAGGCACTGACTCAGTTTTAGTGATTCCTGTCCCCTCCCCCCACAAATGGAGCAGTTTTGCAAGAATTTATTTAAATGAAAACAATAAGCAGAAACTTTTATGTCAGGTGTTAATAACTCCTTGCAAGTATTTTGGAGATAATTTGGAAGGAAGTGGAACTAAGAGGGCCCACTTGTTAACACTCTGGATTATTTGACTGCTTCATAGTGTGCAAAGCTTTGCATATAATGAGTTTGCACTGAGCCTGCTATTCAGAAATTTAGTTTACAAATTTTATGCCTCGGGTCTTTTAGTAATTCACCATGAAAGCTTGTGCTTTTTGTTCTAAAATAAATGGGAATGGGTGAAACTGAGTGTTAGCACTGTAATAATTGGGAAAGAAGTTAACATTAGTTTAGATTTTAGCTTTTTAATATTCTCTGAAAGACTTGTTTTGAGAAGGTTTATTTTTAGGAAACAAGGAATGCTTCTGAAATATTCTCAGTGTTGTGTAGAGAGAATATGCTGGTTACCTGGGAATGTGACCTTTCTATGTTGTTGGGAAACAAGGGGTTCTATGGTTGCAGAAATTTACCAGGAAGGGACTTTAAAGGAACAGGTGGACCAATCTTCTTGTGTCAGATTGGACTTAGGACTAATTTAAGTGTGTTCAAACTTCACCTTCTTTAAAAATGTGAGAATATTGTAGTTTATGGAACCAGTTACCAGGAGCAATGTTTGCTTTTTGGGCTGCTGTGTGAAGGCCAGTCCCACAGGACTGTTGTGGTCTTTATTTTAGTAGATAAAGACCAGGCAGTTTCTGATAACTTGCACAGCTTGGACGACTTGCTTTGGCAAGCCCTGGGGAAGTGTGTATTGTGTCTGGATTGGGTAAAGACATTCATTCTAAAGGGTAAACTTTTGTTTTCAGAATTCAAGGAAGCTTTCTCCCTATTTGATAAGGATGGTGATGGCACCATCACAACAAAGGAACTTGGAACTGTCATGAGGTCACTGGGTCAGAACCCAACAGAAGCTGAATTGCAGGATATGATCAACGAAGTGGACGCTGATGGTAATGGCACCATTGACTTCCCAGAATTTTTGACTATGATGGCTAGAAAAATGAAAGATACGGATAAGTGAAGAAGAAATTCGTGAGGCATTCCGAGTCTTTGACAAGGATGGCAATGGTTACATCAGTGCGGCAGAACTACGTCACGTCATGACAAACTTAGGAGAA